TACTGGTTAGTATGAAAGGAAAGAGCTGATTGGTTGGTTGATTGATTGATTGACCGCTCGAATGAATGGTGGATGGATTAACGAGTGAATGAATGAGTGAATGAGTGAGTGAATGAATGAATGAAATGAATGAATGAATGAACGAACGAACGAATGAATGAACAGAAAAAAAACAAACGGATGAACATAGCTTTCAGTTTTAATTATTTTAATTCATTCCATGACATTTAACCAGGGTCAGCTCATACCGTGCTGGGTCCTTACTGGTCCAAGATTTTGAGAAGAACCAGTCTAAAAGGTTTCCTATGTTAATAATTAAATAATCTTTTGCAAATAAATAATAAATTAATCTATTAATTAATTAATTAATTAATTATAATTGACAGCTAAACAATGTTCCAGAAGATCCGGAATAATGTACGTTAATGTCGATGGCTCTAATGGAAGATGCTATCTTAAGGGGAATGCTGTTGTAGTCTTAAAAGGAGATATATCTATTTAGTTTTGATATAATATCTATTTAGAAGATAATTTTTGATATGTTTCTAATTATTTTAACGTCTGAGGTACTGATTGAAATTGTTTATTATTATTATTTTGGGTTTCGTTGACTCATTTTTTGTGTTTTTCATATTAAAACCTCCTGGAGAATGATTGCATTGACTAATTTTGTCTTATTAAGAGGAAGTTTTATCAATTCATTTTGAAAAACTAATTTTTAATGGTTTTTTGCGTGAAATAAATTGCTTTATTAGCTATTTAAGGACATTATAAATCTTTTATAACTTAAATTCATTTTTATGGTAACTGACACATCCTTATTTAAAACCTACGTGTTGAGTTTGCGAAATATGAATTAAGATTTAAATTTGAATTGCTAGGTGGTTGAAACCGTTTAAAATAAATTCGTTGAAAAATTATCTAACTTATCTATTAAAACTAAAAATGGCGTCAATTCAAGTTATGTCCGTATTGGTGATCAATATGATCGCACTGATCTACTGTTACTCGGAATCCGATGATGATTCGGGATTCTGTCCCATAACTGGACCCCCTAGTGATGGCTGTCCTGCTGCTGCTGATGCTGACGGAAAGAAAAATCTACTTGATGATGATGGGGGATGGTCTGTATGAAAGTCTATTTTAAATAAACTAAATGATTTTTCTTGATTTTCAATTAATTAATTTTACTTAATAATATATAAATAAATATCATTTATATGATTATTATAAAGATAAATATCTTAATCAATTTAATTGAATTATTACTAACTAATGAATTATGATTCGTCATTAGGTATACAGATGTTTCTAAACTGATAGTACATGAAGGTGGTTGCAATGTGGAGAGATTGGATTCACTGAGTCAGGAAGATTTTATTGAAAAGTGAATTTAAATTATAAATTCAATTGTAGATAAATATAATGTCTAATTAATTATTAATTGATACAAATAAAAATGCCTGATTTTATAATTGGTATAATTAATTTTTTATTATAGATAAAAAAATGATATGAGTGCATTGTATATATATACACTCCGTTTTATAGATTATTTTTAATTAATAACTAAATTCAAGCAGCTTAATCAATAGACTAAATCAAATCTATCAGTTAAATAAATTTATATAGCGTAAAATTTATGTGAAGAAATAAGTAATTTGTATAAATTGTGAATGTGTAATATGTATAAATTGTGAATGTATATAAACGTTTTGTATCATTTTGTACTGACCTACATGTGTTTCTATCTTTTATTTTTTGTATTTCACTCTTTCCTTTCTCTCCCTCTCTTTCTATCTCTCTTTTTCTCTCTCACTTTTCTCTTCTTCTCTCTCTCTTTCTCTTGTTTATACCAAAGATATTATATTTTATTTTATTTATACTAAAATTCTCTCTTACACATCACCTAGTTATGCGTACAAGAAACCATTCATTGTGAAGAACTCCAACGATAATACTGTGAGTAAGATGATGATGATGGTGACGAAGATGATGGTGGTGGTGACGGGGAGGAAGATGATGATGATAAAGTTTTATAGTCATCATAATCTTAATTGTGATGAGCGTGATGAATAATGAGGATGTATGACACACACACACACACACACACACATACAAACACGCACACACACACATACATACACACACACACATATAAACACGCGCACAACATATATACATATCTACATAAAGAAATTTAGAAAATTTTCAAGAAGACAGACAATGCTAGAACAATTTGGAGATAAGATTGTTAGACTGAGCACTGCTAATACATATTCATATGGAAAAAGTAATGATAATGATAGTTTTTGATGATGATGATGATGATGATGATGACGATTAAGCAGATGATGAGTAAGATGGTGATGATAACGATGGTTATGATGATGATGATGATGGTGGTCAGTGAGTTTCGTAACATTAAATATCATCACTCACTCATTCACTCACTCACTCGTTCACTCACTCACTCATTCACTCACTCACTCACTAATTGATCAAACAGAAGATGTGGCATTGAAAGAGTACATAGAGAAAATACTGAAACCTCAGGGTCTGCAAGACCGCGGAAATGGTTTGTCATTGTTCATTGTTGTTGTTTGATGACGTCATTCTTGTTTGTTGTTGGCGATATTCGCTGATGTTGTTGTTGGCTGTGCAGTATTTGCAATATCTACCCTAGCAACAACCACAACAACGACGACAACAACAACAATCTTTAGAAACGTTCTACTGGTTCGGCGACAACAACCACACGGAATGGTCCGAAGTATTCGCGGCCTACCATCCACCACCTCTGCACATCCCTAAAATGTCCCCGGCATTCAGTTACGGACTGGCCGGTTAGTTAGTTAGTCAGTTAGTGTAGAATTACGAGTCTACTTGCAGCTTATTTTTTAATTTTTTTTTTACCATTACACCAGGAGTGCGAAGACTTTTTGCGTCACCATCATCACAATCATTATCGTCATGAATATCATAGCCACAATCATCGACATCATCATCATCATCGTTATCAGGAGCAGGCACTGGCGTACCGTTTCACTTTCATGGTCCGGGTTTTTCCGAAGTTATTTACGGAAGCAAGGTGACTTATTTTTAGCAATGGTCATCATTACACTGACCATCCTCACAAATAATGACATCAGAATGACGTCATTTTAATCATCGTCAACAGCGTTGGTTTTTGTACCCCTTCGAGATGACCCCAGAGTTTGACCCCAACTCAACGACTTTGCATTGGGTAGTGGAGAAGATGCCCTTCTTACCTGATGGAATGTTACCATTGGACTGTACCATTAAGCCCGGGGAGGTGATTATGATGATGATCATAATTGCTGTGATGATGATGATGGTATTATGATGAAAATTATATCTACTCATATACACATTAACTTTTCATAAAGTCACATACACACACGCACTCACACACACACATGTACAGAGAAAGAAAGCCATACAATCAAACGTGCATACATAAGATAAGACACATACAATCGAACAGACATACATATGGTACTGTACAATAGACACAAATACACACGTATACACAAACTGGTCTAGATACAAACACACAGATATACAAAAACACATACATCTACGTATGCAAACACTCACATACACACATACACATACATACATACATACATACATTCATACATACATACATACATACATACATACATACATACATACATACAAACACATACATACAAACAAACACATACATACAAACACAACAGGCTCTGTATTTTCCAGATAGGTGGTGGCACGCGACACTGAACGTCAACACGAGTGTCTTTATTTCTACATTCCTCGGATGATCGAACGATCATTTTTGTTATTATTCATAAAAATAACAATAATATTAATAACATAACATTATTATTGTTGTTGTTATTGTTGTTGTTATTGTTGTTGTTATTGTTTTTATTGTTATTTTTGGGAATTTTTTCTCGTTAGTGTATTTAACTTTATCAAAATAATACTCCACCTCTGTTTGTTTTCTTTTGTTTATTTTTAGATCTGGGTATTTCCATGTTGTTGTTTTTATTCCTTTATTCATTCATTTGTTTATTTAGCGATCCATCCATCCATTCATTCATTTGTTTGTTTATCTATCCATTCATTCATTCGCCTATGTATTATATTTTATACATTCATTCAGAGAGAGAGAGAAAAACATTAAGCGTTGACCGGTATTGCAAGAGTAATGAATTAATATAAATTTCAATATTTCAGTTAATCTATCAACCAATTCTTCTATCTGTTGGTGATTGATTGATTGATTGATTGATTGATTGATTGATTGATTGATTGATTGATTGATTGATTGATTGATTGATTGATTGATTGATTGATTGATTGATTGATTGATTGATTGATTGATTGATTGATTGATTGATTGATTGATTGATTGATTGTTACATATTCTACATGGTACATGGTATTAAGTCATATTATATTATAAAATAAAACTTTTCAAACGTAATATTTCTTTTTTCGTTTTTAACAAGTATGGAAAAAATTAATTTTGTTCCAATAAATTGTCTCAAAATTCAAACACAAATAAAAAAAAGCTGAAAAATCAAATATTAATTGACTAAAAAGTAACATTATACATTTGTCTCAACAACGTTATGCGGTTACGTGTCGGTCGGTTCGCGAACCGGTTCTACCAAGCGGTTTTAATAACCGGTTTGTCGGTCGGTTAATAGAGCACGACCCTGTTATCCTTGGCCCATTTTTTCATGGCCCTTAATATGTACTCGACTTGCGGGTTGCCCGTGTTCTGTAGCATCTGTATTATGTCTCGTAAAAGCTCTCTGATAGGTTGGTTGGATGTGATGTGTTGCTCGTTGGTTGGTCTTGATCGGTTGAACGTGGGGTCGGTTTATGATTGGTTAATTGATGGTTGGTTGTCATTTGAAACGTATAGCAGCTTGTTGATTGTGATTCGTTGGGTTGAATATAAAAAGCCAAAAACGGTGCAAGAACACATAAAATTAACACACACACACACGAGTTTGCACGCACATACAAACACACAAAACATCCACAACAAACAACGTACACACACATCCACAACCGACAACGTACAAACACACATCCACAACACACACACACATTCACAACAAACAAACAGCAACGAACTTGGGCTCATGCCCACTGACGACCATCTGGAAAGCTCCCACACAGGCACCCCTCTTTCCCTCCCAATATTCCGGAGTTGGTTCGATTCTCTCTAGCACATCGAACGCTTTCGCCGAGTAGAAAAATAAGCCTCTCTATCATTGTGTGTGTATGTGTGTGTGTGTTTGTGTGCTTGTGTATGTGGTGTGTGTGTGTGTTTGCGCGTGTCGTCAAGTTTTTGAAGATATATATATATAAACATGAACAGTAACAACAACAACATAGCGAACGGAAATAACAACAACAATATTAAAAGCATAAACATAATAATAATAGCATAGATATAAAAACACAGCATAGAACCTTGTAACAATCGTTAGCGATAATGAGTAGGAGTTGATATGACTCTCCTGATGTTTCCATCTTCAAATACAACTCCCAGGCCAATCTCGGCTTCCGGTTCATTATGACTGAAAAAAGGAATAATAATAATAAAATTATTATTCTTATAATTTTCAGCAGCAGCAGCAGAAGAAGGTAAGCATATATCAGAACAAAAATAGGATATATATATATATCACATATATATATATATAAATATATATATATATATATATATATTAATCTATATAATATATATATATATTAATCTATATAATAATATACATTCATAGCAGATTGCTAAAAGAAATTTATATATGTGGCCGGGGCACTATGCGGATTATTATTATGATGACAATAATGATTATTATGATTGTTGATATTATTATTATATTATTATTATTATTATAATTATGGGAAATTATATTATCACGACACGACTCGTACGTACAGCAGCGAGCGAGCCAGCTGAGAAAGATGTAACTTCTCTTTATCTTATCACTCTGCACCATGAGGAAGGCCTTTTGGGGTGTAATCATCATCGTTATCATCATCGTCATCGCGGTCATCATCCTCATCGTCGTCGTCATTATCATCATCATAGTCTTCATCATCATCATAGTCTTCATCATCATCATAGTCTTCATCATCATCATAGTCTTCATCATCATCATAGTCTTCATCATCATCATAGTCTTCATCATCATCATAGTCTTCATCATCATCATAGTCTTCATCATCATCATAGTCTTCATCATCATCATAGTCGTCATTATCATTATCGTCATCGTGATCATTATCGTCGTCATCATCATCATCGTCATCATCATCACCATCATCGTCATCATCACCTCTTCAGCTTCTTTGTACTGGCCGAGGGCTGCGTTCGCCTGACCGTAGTTGAAGTTGAAGACGTCGTCGTTGTAGAAGTAGCTCTGGTGACGACGACGATGACGATGATGACGATGACGATGATGATGATAGTGGTGATGATGATAGTATTGACAGTAGTGGTATTGATGATAATAATATTTTTAATACTGATAGTATAGAACGATGAAGATGATGATGACGATCGTGATGATGTTGATGACGATTGTGATGATGACGATGATGAGGGTGACGATAGTGGTGATGACGATAATAAAAAAAAATTTTTGAAAAAAAAAATTTTGTTATCAAACCTTGATTGAGTTTAGATAGATCATGACCTCTTCGAACTGTTTTAAGAGAAAAAAATTTGAAGCCATACACTGCCGACCTGGTAGTGTGTCTGTTTGTGTGCGTGTGTGTGTGTATGTGTGTGTGTAGGTTTGTGTACGTGTGTGTGTGTGTGTGTGTGTAGGTTTGTGTACGTGTGTGTGTGTATAGGTGTGACAGTGTGTCTGTGTGTGTGTGTATGTGTATGTATGCGTTTGTGCGTCTGTGTGTGTGTGTTTATGTGTGTGTATGTTTCTGTATGCATACCATCAAGAAATTCATTCACTTGTCAATCTATCATTCTATAATTCATACGAAAAATCAGCCACATAACCAATCAATCATTCATTCATTCATTTCTTCACTCCTCTCTCCGTCAATCAATCACCTTACCACATTCACTGGCCGATCCTCCAACAACTGAGAATAAGTGCTGGGCGGCTTTTAGATGTTCCTTCTGGATGAATGAATGAATGAATGAATGAATGAACGAATGAATGAATGAATGAATGAATGAATGAATGAATGAACGAATGAATGAACGAACGAATGAATGGATGGATTACCGTGTAGATAAATGAATAAATGAATGGATTAATGTGTGGATGAATGAATGATTAATGAATGGATGAACGAACGAACGAATGGATAGATGAAATAATGCGTGAATGAACGAACGAACGAACGAACAAACGAACAAACAAACGAACGAACGAATAAACGAACGAATAAATAAATGTTTACCGAATTTTGTTCTTGCCCCACGGTTGCGTTCACTATGGCTGTGAATGTTTCATTTAATGTGATTGTTACGTGAAAATAGCATCGAGTCACATGATTTGATGCATGGGAACTTAATGTAATTCTATTGTTAAGGTAACCATTTTTAATGTATTGTACTGTATTTTAATGTCATATCACTGTAAATGTTATAAATTTTAATGTAAAAAAAAATTTACAAGAATGTACCCGAGTTTCATTTGTTTTTAATGTTATTTGAATTAAAATGTACCTGAATTTTTATGTTATTCGAGATAATTTATTGTAGTGAATTGTGAATGCGATGCATTATGAATGTAATGAGTTGTTGTTTTAGTGAATTGTGAATGTAATGAATTGTTGTTTTAGTGAATTGTGTATGTAGTGAATTGTTGAAGTAGTGAATTGTGAATTAAATGAATTGTTGGAGTAGTGAATCTTTAATGTAATGAATTGTAATGGAACGTAGCACATCATAATATAATGTAATAAATTGTAATGTAATTTAAAGAATTGTGATGTAACGTAATGAATTGTAATGTAATGAACTTTCAATGTAATTTAGTGTAGAGGACCTTTCAAGATGTACTCTTGGGGTGTAGTTGGCTGGAGATCCTTCATTAATTCATTCGCTTCTGCCACTTCATCTGAGTGAGTGAATGAAGGAGTGAATGGATAAATGAGTGAATGGATGAATGAATAAACGAATGACTATTGATTTATTGATTAAACGAACGATCGAAAGATTCAAAATAACAAACAAGAAATTTTTCAACAAACCAGCCAATCAATCAATCAACCAACCAGCCAACCAACCAGCCAACCAGCCAACCAACCAACCAACCAACCAGCCAACCAACCAACCAACTAACCAGCCAGCCAACCAATCAACCAACCAACCAACCAACTAACCAACCAGCCAACCAACCAGCCTACCAACCTTGTTTCAAGTAATATATGACCAGGTTGAGCCTTGCTTCGGGAATGACGTCAACAAGGGGTGTGAGTACTTGCAAGGCTGCCTGACCTCCGCGAAAAACTGTCTATAAATAATAATAATAATTATTATTATTATAAATAATAATAATAATCATAATAATCATCATCGTCCTGATGATTATCTGCGTCGTAATTATCATATTCGTAATTCTAGTAAAACAGAAGTATAATAATGTGAGTAAAAAATTAATAGTAATTTAAAAAGTTAGTTTATCAATCGACCGATTAATTAATTAATAAATTAACTAATCGTTTGTTTTAACAGTCAATCATTCAATTAGCCAATCACACTAAGCATATCAATCGACCAGCCAATCACAGTAAACATATCAATCAATTAAACTAAACATGTCAATCAACCAGCCAATCAATCACAGTAAACATATCAATCAACAGCCAATCAACCAACCAATCAATCACAGTGAACATATTAATCGACCAACCAATCACAGTAAAGATATCAATCGACCAATCAATCAATCACATTAAACATATCAATCAACCAGCCAATCAATCACACTAAACATGTCAATCAACCAGCCAATCAATCACAATAAACATATCAATCAACCAGCCAATCAATCAGCCAATCAATCACAATAAACATATCAATCAACCAGCCAATCAATCAGCCAATCAATCACAGTAAACATATCAATCAACCAGCCAATCAATCAGCCGATCAATCACAGTAAACATATCAATCAACCAGCCAATCAATCAGCCAATCAATCACAGTGAACATATCAATCAACCAGCCAATCAATCAGCCAATCAATCACAGTAAACATATCAATCAACCAGCCAATCAATCACAGTAAACATATCAATCAACCGATTAATCAATCACACTGAACAAAACATATCAATCGACCAACCGACCAAATTATGTTTCACTAGGTCCCTAGCGTAGGTAAACGATGGTGATGCTAAATCTTGTAGTGTCTTTAACTCTGCCTAACACAAATCAGTCAATCAGTCAATCAATCAATCAATCAATCAATCAATCAATCAATCAATCAATCACATAACCAACTTCGGCAATTTTTCCATTAAAGAGACGAAATTGGTTGCAGGCCTTCAGGTTGAGTGCAGTTGCACTGTCTGGGTACTGGTTTAAGTACACGGCCAGTACTTCCTACAAGTTTTGGTTTGTTTGTTTGTGTGTGTGTGTGTGTGTGTGATTGTTTGCTTGCATGTTTATTTGTATGTTCATTTGTTTGTTTGTCAATCAGTTGACGAATATCAGTTAACTAACTAATCAAAGCACGAATCAATCAACCAGCTAAAAACCATCCAATCAAACAACCAGCCAACCAACCAATCAACCAACCAACCAGCCAACCAACCAATTAATCAACCAACCAACCAATCAACCAGCCAACCAACTAATCAATTAACCAACCAATCAACCGACTTGTGAGACGTCATAGTAATCAATTTTGTAGTAGCAGAGAGCGATGTAAACATTCAGCGCTAGATAATCACTGCATTTAATTTCAAAATAATCCATCAGTCAGTCAATCAATCAATAAATCAATCAGTCAGTCAATCAATCAATAAATCAATCAGTCAGTCAATCAATCAATCAGTCAGTCAATCAATCAATAAATCAATCAGTCAGTCAATCAATCAATCAATCAACCAACCAACCAACCAACCAATCAATCAACCAACCAATCAATCAACCAACCAACCAATCAATCAATCAATCAATCAATCAATCAATCAATCAATCAACCAATCAATCAATCAATCAACCGATTATCCAATAATATTTTTTTATAAATATCAATGGCTTCTTGATAGTGGTTCCTCAGGTAATGAATGGACGCTAATGAAAGCTGGTCCTCAACGACGTCATCCAATCCTGATAGTGATGAATGAATGAATGAACAAATTAACGAACGAATGAATGAATGAATGAATGAATGAATGAATGAATGAATGAATGAATGAATGAATGAATGAATGAATGAATGAATGAATGAATGAATGAATGAATGAATGAATGAATGAATGAATGAATGAATGAATGAATGAATGAATGAATGAATGAATGAATGAATGAAGTTAATCAGTCAGTCGGTTGGTAAATAAATCAATCCAATTAACCAACCAACCAACCAACCGACCGACCAACCAACCAACAAATCAATCAACCAACCTACCAACCAACCAACCAACCAACCAACCAACCTGAATGCAACTCAACCAATCTTTTTTCATCACTGAGTTTGTGCGAGAGATGGAACAGTAATCGAGTCTGTAATGGACTCTTTGTAGCTGAATTATTATTATCACCATCATCATTACTATAATTATTTTTATTATTTTATTATTATTATTGATGTTATTGTTTTTATTATTGTCATGATCGTAGTAATAGTAGTAGCAGTAGTAGCAGCAGAAATAGCAGCCGTAGTAATAATAATAACAATACTACAAAAGTAGTAGCAGTAGTTGCAGCATCAGCCAGTAGCAGCAGTAGTAGCAGCAGAAATAGCAGCCGTAGTAGTAATAATAACAATACTACAACAGTAGTAGCAGTCGAAGCAGCAGCAGTAGCAGTAAGTGGTAAGTTGTAGTAGTAGCAGCACCTTTTTTAGCGGCAGCTTCGGCTTCTTTGTACATCCCCAGCATGAAGTAACAGCAGCCGAGATTCGTGTAGATGTGCAGATCGCACTTTGGATGTTTCGACATTTTCTCATACTCCTGATGACGATGATGACGATAATGGTAATGATGGCGATATTGACCGTGATGATGATGACGGTGATGATGATGATAATGATGTTAAGTGGTATGGTAATGATCCAGACGACGTAACGTACCTCCATTGCTGCTTTGTAATCCCCAAGATGAAACGCGCAGTAGGCTATCCATAAATCATTTTCTATGCTTTTTTTCCCGCTGTTTTTCATGAACTATTTGTGTATGTTTCATGCGTGTAAGTATATTTTTGTATGTTTGTGTGTGTGTGTTTGTGTGGTGTGTGTGTGTTTGTGTGGTGTGTGTGTGTGTTTGTGTGTGTATGGTGTGTGTGTGTGCGTGTATACTGCCTAAACACTAACCTCCAATAAGGTTATGGCGCCAGTGTAATCTCTGCTTTCGATGAATTCTTCTAAAGTTGGGACGGATTTTTTATTGTCTTTCCCTAATTTGGCGTCGCCGGTTTTAGCTGTGGCCGGTTTATTGCGTGATAAAAGCTGATGGGAAGAGATGAAAATATTTAAGATTAAAATGTGAGTATTTTTCTATATCTACACCAAAATAACGAACAAATGAAACTCTACAAACTAGATAATAGAGCTTCAATTAACTTAATTTTGCCGTTTAGGTATGATAATAAATACGAAGAAAGAATTAATTATTATTGATTTATAATAAATAATTGATTTATTAGCCATTGTATGAATAATTAATCAATGACACCAACACATGATCATATATGACGAGCAAAAGTTTGGATTGATTTTTTAATCAAACGTATAGATAGGATCATTTTATTCTTTCATCAAACTATTAATTATGTATGTGTAAATTAATAACAGTATTTTTGTCATAAATACTAATAATATATCAATATAATTGTTTTACTGAATTGAATGACAATATAATGACAATATCAGTTGCTAGTCAGTGGGAGTGTTTGTTGAAATTGAATTGAAATAGTTAAATTCCAATTGAAATTTTTCTCACCATAATTTGAATTTGTCGACTAAATTATCAAAATTTAAAAAGCTATTTCATCAAAAAATGAATTTAAATCACCATTTTGAAGTGTCATTTGTTTACAAATTAAACAAAATGCAAAATTATATTGTGATTATTATCAGTTGACATTGACAACTACAGCCTAGCGACGCGAAAAAGCTCCCGCAAGATGAATTTAAGTGAAATTTGATTAATTTTCATCAAAATTTGTAAAATAAAATAAATTTTAGTGTAATAAATATGTTTAATAATAACATTTTTATATTAAAAAGTTCCATTTTTGAGTTTTAGCTTATTTATTTCAAGTAAATGATCCATTTTGATAAAATGCTTATTACATTTGCTTTTCTTTGTTTTGAATACATTAGCGATAATAGACAACTTTCTTTTTTTTTAATAACATTTTTTAAATTCCTAACTAAATCGGTTTGGGATTATCTATCATACTTTTAAAGTAATATTGTCTTAAATTAATTGAAAAATTTGAAATGTCTCAATTTTTGAAAATTTTTGACCATTACAACTGACCAACCTTATTATTATAATTTCAAATTACAATTCCTATTACCACGAATGCCGAATGGGGAATGGCCAACAAATTTGATTAATAAATTAAATAAAATTTAATTTATTCATTTTCAAGATGCCTGTTGCTGATCAGTTCTACCAGGATATGCTGGAGAATGCGAAGAATTACAACAAGCGACTCTGCATTGAGAGGAGACAGCGTCTGCCATTTTTGGACTCACAAACTGGAGTCGCCCAGAACCACTGCAACCTTTGGATCCCTTATAAATACAGGGCTCCAGGTTGGCTAGTTAGTTAAATCAATTAAGGGATGTGTGTAAAATTGATATATTTAATTTTAAATCATTTATATAATTATAAGATTAGCCTGTCATGTACTGAATTTATCTATATAATTGAGTTTGAAATTTTAGGTCTTCGTCATGGACAGCTGTATTCCTATCCATGTCGTAGATGGAAGAAAAAGTGTACCCTTCCCCTGCCCGATTTCTCCCTGGGACCCACACCTAAGATAAAATTAGCAGATGAGGCTGTTGATATTGGTTAGTTTTATAGTAAATTTGCTTTGTGATGAAGTTTTTTTTTCCATTTTTTTTATTTTTTTTTTAATGTTTTCTTGGCAGTTCTATTTTTCTGAACCCTTCCTAAATCTCAACCACCCAACAGATGCTCACTGCTTGAACAATGCTGACCAGTCACAATCGAGCATCAGCGCGTTGAACAGCAATGCTAACAACAACATTAACAACGGGGAGTCTGACTCGATGATGGCAGCAACGACGTCAATGTCATCAACAACGAACGAGGATTCCACATCAAACTCCCAACAACAACAGATGGCCTGGGATGATCAGATGGACGGAGGAGAGATGATGGAGACTGACCGACCTGACTCCGATAGTAGCGATTACGAAGAGACCTACATCAAGAAAAGAGCCAAGAAGGGCGGTCGGGGTGGAGATAGGACCAAAAGTGGGGTACTCAAAGATCCCACTTTCAGAGGGCCCAAGTCCCAGGTTTGAAATTTACAGGGTTTTTGTTTGTTATCCTGTAAAATTTTTTATTCCGTCAGTTATTTTTCCAATTGTGGTTGATGTAGAAATTTTTGTTCTATCAACTTTTTTTGTTTTTAGCATTCTACTCTTTCATATTTTTGATCTTTGAGATTTTTTGGCAACCACCCAGTCATCATTTCATCATTTTCATCTTTTAAACGTTTTTCCTAAAAGCGGGGTGCCGGAGGAGGCAAAGGTCGAGCAAAGAAGGAAAAGGAACCAGCAGATAACCTCACTGACAAAGACAAACCCTACGTCTGTGAATGTGGGTACTTTATTTATTAATTAACTAATTAATTAATTTATTTATTTATTAATTATTCATTTTGACTTTCAATATTGTTTTAGGACTAATCAATATTAATTTATGCTAATTTATGCTGCAGTGTGCCCCATGCGTTACAAGACAAGGCCTGGCCTATCTTACCACATGAATCACACCCATAATAAGGTCCTTAATATTCATTGTTGTTCATGTTTATTTATAATTAATTAGGTTTTATTAAAAATAATTTTAATTAATTATGGTTATTATTTGATAATTTGTGTTTTGTACTGTTTGAATGGTTTAATAACATATTTTCAAATTGTTGTTTTTTTGTGAATTTTCAAGTAAAAAAATTAATCAATATTGAAATTATCAATTAGCTAATTAATATTCAAATGTATTTAAATTTATGCGCAAACAGGCTGTACCAGCTGATGACGACGACCTTCACATTCATCACAAGCCTGGTTGGTACTACTCTCATAAATATTCGTCAAATACAGTTGGAATTTTACAATTTAGATAGTTATTGTTATAATTATTATTTGTTTGATTAATAACTTGTTGCTGTCGCTACCTAGATATTTAATCATCTCTGTCTACCTGTTTGTCTATCTATTTGTCTGTCTATCTATTTGTCTGTCTATCTGTCTGTCTATCTATCTGTCTGTCTATTTGTCTGTCTCTCTCTCTCTCTCTCTCTCTCTCTCTCTCTCTCTCTCTCTCTCTCTATTTTTCTCTCTCTTTTTCTTTTTCTCTTTATTTCTCTCATTATGTACACATATTATATGTATGTATTTATTGTTAATTTTTGATCCCCAAAATAGAAACAACTTATTCAAGAAAGCAACAACAACAGCAGCAACAACAACAGCATCATCATCAGCAGCAGTCTTCATCGTCCTCATCATTTCCAAACCACCCCCAATACCAGCAACAGCAGCACCATCATCATTACCACCAGCAGCAGCAACAACAACAGCATCACCAACATCACCACATGATGGGTCCGCCTATGCTGGCGGTTTCGTCGTCTACGTCATCGTCGTCGTCGTCGTCCACAATGGTGGCTCCCCCTCCGATGATGGGGAATATCCCTCCCCAAATGCTCCCGAAAGTTGGGAGTAAGTACTGCGACTTCTGCCTCGGGGACGAGATGGAAAACCGGAAGACGGGACTAAAAGAGGAAATGGTTTCCTGTGCCGATTGCGGACGATCCGGTGGGTTATGATAATGATGATTGGATTATTATTATTATTATCATCATCATCATCATCATTATATACTCATTAGTAGTCCTCAGAAAATAATTTGCAATAGCGATGACTGATGACGATCATGCTGATGATGATGGTAGTAGTGATAATAACAATGAGGATAATAATAATAACAATAATAATTATAATAACTCATTCAGGCCACCCAAGCTGCTTGCAATTCTCCCCCAACATGATAATCTCCGTGAAGCAATACCCATGGCAGTGTATCGAATGCAAATCTTGTGGCATCTGTGGTACTAGCGATAATGACGTCAGTATTCCTCCGTGTATTTTGTGTTTTGTCTATGTATTTATGTATGTATTGTTGGTTGTTTTGTGTTTTATCTATGTATTTTTGTATGTATTGTTGGGTGTTTTGTGTTTTATCTTTGTATTTTTGTATATATTGTTGGTTGTTTTGTGTTTTAGCTATGTATTTTTGTATGTATTGTTGGTTGTTTTGTGTTTTATCTATGTATTTTTGTATGTTTTGTTGGGTGTTTTGTGTTTTAGCTATGTATTTTTGTATGTATTTATGTATTGTTAGGTGGTTTGTGTTTTATCTATGTATTTTGGTATATATTGTTCGTTGTTTTGTGTTTTATCTATGCATGTATGTAATTCTTCTTGGTGTTTAGTGTTGTTTGGGTGTTCCAACGACATTACTGTTCATCAACAACAACAATAACATCATTATCATTATCGTCGTCAACGTTATCGTCATCATCATCACCACCATCATCGTAATATTGTCATCAGGATCAGTTGTTATTTTGTGACGATTGCGATCGTGGCTACCACATGTACTGCTTGAAGCCACCGTTGTCTGAGCCACCTGAGGGTTTGTTTGTGTGTGTGTGTGTGTGTGTATGTGTGTGTGTGTGTGTGTGTGTGTGTGTGTGTGTGAATCAATTAACCAGTCATTCATTTTCAATTAACCAGTTAATCAGTTATTCAATTATGCCTTTGTTCATTCATCGATTCAGTCATATTCATCCACCCATTCATCATTTCATTCATTCATCCATTCATTCATTCATCCATCCATTCATTTATCCATTCATCTATTCATTCATTTATCCATTCATTCATTCATTCATTCATTCGTTCGTTCTTTTCCAGGTAGCTGGAGCTGTCATCTGTGCGTCGTTGAGTTCTACGGCAACAATAACAACAACAACAATAATAATAATAATAACAATAATAATAATAATGCTTAAAATTGATCAGTCAATCATTCATTTATTTATTTTTTGTTATTTTCGTGTTATTATTTTTAATTACTATCATTAAATTGTCATAATAATAATAATTATTATTGTTATTATTATCTGGTGACCTGAAAATCGTGTTATGAAAATGACTGAATGAAGTGTGAATGAATGAATGAAGAAATGAATGAAATGGATGGATGAATAAATGAATGAATGAATGCATGACTGCTTACACATCGTTTGAGGACATTTTTTCTCTTTTATAAACATTATTAATAAAGTTTATTAATAAACTATCTCATGCTTTTGAAGAAATTTAAAAAATAAAATTACTTCTCAAAAATATCTACAGATATCGTCTTTAGCGCTTTTGTATGTCTGAATGTTTGCATGTTTTTTTTTTATGTTTGTTTGTATGCTCGTATGTACATGTGTATGTTTGTTTGTTTATTTTTTTATTTGTGTGTTTGTATGAATTTTATTTAAACGCTTTTAAGCAACCATATCTGCATTTAAATAAAGCAATGTGCATGTGTGTATGTTTGTATAGATGTGTGTATGTATCGACGAGTATGTATGCATGCTTGTATGTGTGTGTGTGTCTGTTTATATGCATGCGTGTGTGTGTCTGTTTGTATGTATGCGTGAGAGTCATTTTAGGATTATAACGCGCAATTCAATTTTATAATAATTTCTAATTATAGAAATAATTTTTCATAATTTTTGTTTGTAACACGACAGGTTCATTTCACATGCGCACACATATTTGCACAGGCACACGCATACACACACACACAAACACACATACGTATATATATCCATAAAATTTTTTCGGATCATGCCTATTGCATACTTGTGCTGTAATTCGTAGAAATGAGGAAGGTACGTCTATGTCTGCTTGAATGTTTGGGTCCCGATGTATATGTGTCTGTGTGCGTGTATGTGTGTCTGTCTGTGTGTGTGTGTCTGTCTGTGTGTGTGTCT